GGGGCACGTGGAGAATGAGTGCCTGTGCACCTGCATTCTCGGTCTGTGCGCTGTCAACCGAACCAGACACTGCTGTGTGCACTGTCCCTGAGAGAGAGGGCCCAGATGGTCAGCACATGGCAGCAGCAATGCACAACCAGGGGCAAGGGGAGTCAGGTGGATCCAAAGGAACAGACTGGCCAAGATGCTGCAGTGCTCAGTCCAGCAAATGCTGTCAGGCCTAGGTAACTGGCAGCTGGCAAGACTCCTTACTGGCAGAACCTTGGAGAGGAATTGAAGTGTCAAGGCAGGCAACAGGTCACGCAGCCACACCACCCAGTTTAGCTGGTGTGCCTAACTCTCAGCTTCCAGCTCAGGCCTGCACAGACTCCAACGGTGCAGCTCTACAAGGTGGGCGCTGAGAAAGAGGGATCCACCATGACTTTGAGCTGGAAGGCATCAGGGCACTGGGGGCCACACTGCAGACTGCGGAACTTGCCTCAATCCCTGGATTGCGCTGTGGAAATTTGTGGAGTGTTTGTCAACCTGTGTCGAGGTCAGGTATGGCATGTGCACATATATACGTTAGTCTGCGAAGCCAAGCCAAGCAACAAGGCCGCGTGGCCCAATGGCAAGGCGTCTGACTACGACGGCGTGCGCTGCGAAGTGCCCCCGCATACATCAGGAGACTCTGGGTTCGAGCCCCAGCGTGGTCAATACTTTTTGCGCGGACTTTGCCGGAGGTCAACATCCCGGACTCGCCAAAAACTTGCGGGCACATTGTGTGACAGAGTTCCTGAGCTCGCTGAAGCTCGGTGCCCACAAAGCGTAACAGCCTGTCCCTGCGCCACACCCTTGTGCCACACCTGGCCCAGCCTGCCTGTCTGCTGTTGACTCTCCCTCCCTCTCCTTCAACCCCCTCACTTGCTTCCTGTCTCATTTATGTCTTGTCTGCTCCAGCATACACCTCTGGCTACCTCTGGCCCAATTTGCTGCCAGCCGCAAGCTGCGGCGGGGCCTTCTCATTGAAAACCTGCTCTTGGTCAACATTGTCTGTCCCTTCCTCTTGCTCACACACTGCAGAACATGTGTTGCTGTACTCACTGAAAGAGCCTTGTTAAGGATGTTGCACCGTGTGTCGCTGTCCTCATGGTCCTCACTAGAGCAGCAGAGCGGATCATTGACTGACCCTCCTCTTCAACCCCCTCTCACCAGCCTGCAGAAGATTGCTGAATGTCTCAAGTAGATCTGGCAGCTTTGAAGCACAGCTCTGCAATTCTTGTGATGTGTGCCTGAGGAGCTGACATCAGCCTGCAAGCTGGGCTTGTTCCGCACGGCCCATGCTCACATGCGCCCTCACTACGCTTGCCCTGTGGCCATGAGCCAATGCACAATTTACCTACTCGGGTGTCCACTATTATCCTTGACAGCAAGGGCAAGCCACTGCCTGCCCTGCTGACTCTTGCTTCCGTGCGCGCAGCTAGACAATGCTCTGCCCTCAGTTGCCTCCTTCAGCTGCCTGTGCTTGCTTCTGTTCACCAAGAGACACTCTCTACACCATCTCCTTGCAGGCAAGAATCTGCCTTGGGCGCCTTGTGGAACAGACCCTGCGCTTGCCTGCCCTCTGCCATGGCTGTGTATGCTTTAGCTGTCCTGCAGCACAAAGGGGGGAATGCTGACAAGGAGTGGTGCAATCTCTGAAGCACAGCAAGCAAAAGCTTCCCAGTAGTAGAAAGCTGTGATGAGTGCCACCCAATTAAACGCTCAACGCGAGGCATGCAGAAAGCATTCGAACACGTCATTGGGTTTGATCAGGCGCGATGCAACAAAAGAAGTTTGACATTGATGTTGACATGTTGGGCGCCAACTCGCTGAGAACGCTGTTGCGGCCGCAAGCAGGCATCAAAGCAGCAGGCACACACAGAGCATAGGAACACGAGCCATTTCTACAGAGGTATGGGAACTGGGAAGATGGATCCTCGGTATGCAAGGGCCAGCGTCATTGGCGTTGACCGCCGGGACTGACTCCTTCTCCTTGCCCTTTCTCCTCATGGTCAAAGCGACAGGGATGTGAGCGGTTATGGGGGCAACTTTTTTTGGGAAGCTGTTCTTGGCCTGCTCGTGCCTACACGTTTGGCTCGCTGGTGTTGCCAAAGAGCCCTGCGTGCTTGACCATCTTGATGGGGGAAGCTGCCGGCACGCCGTACAACTTGCCCCTCATGCGAGCCTCCTTGGTCTGCAAAGAGCATTGAGTCAGCCTGCCACACATAGATGGAACCACAAGACAGCAGGAAGCATTGCCACCTCACCTTGGCCAAGACGCACACCTCCTCAAGGTACAAGCGCAAGAAGGTTGTCCCAGGGCGGCACCTGTCAGCCTGCAAACAGGTGGAACTTGTCAGCAGCAGCGCAGCGCTGCAAAGGAAGAACAGAGGATGAGCACACCTGCTCAGAGAAGACCATCTCGACAACCTAGCTGACGAACTCGTAAAGCCTACACAAGGGGAAGTAGATGCGGTCGTGCTTGGCATCAAGCAGGTAGCAGAGCAGATCCTTTGTGCAGACGAGCCTGTTTGCAAGGTTGGCAAAGTTGAAGCGGTGCGTAGAACAGAGCGCCGCCGGGAGACGGCAAACCAAAACACTTGCTTGGACTCAGGGGTTAAAAAGGACAAAACCGTGCGGGTTGCGGGCTGTGCTCCTCAGTGTGTGAGCTGGAGCGCTGCCAAGAGCTACAAAAGAGCAACTCAGCGTACCTGTTCTCCTCAGTGTGTGAGCTGGAGGAGAACAGGTGACTCGGGCGCGCCGGCCGCAAGCCTGCCATGCGCGTCTGACCCTGCTACGTCCTCTGTCCGCCACTCCTCCTGCGCCTCCCCTTGGGAGCAGCGGTGTCGTCCGCTGCAGTGTGTGTCCTTGCTGACGTCCTGTAAGGAAGCAGTGTCAGCCTGCGCCTGCCAGTTTTGGGAACCAGCAAGCATTACACACTGTGCGTTCCACCCAACTTAGCAGCCAGGCAAGGCAAGTGGTTTCACAGTGGCACGTCTCGCCCGTCGTCGTCGGGGTGAGGAAGCCCTCGAGGGTCTGGTCACGAGAGGTCAGCTGCTCCTGCATCTTCTTCTGCACACAACCAGGAGTGCAAAAGCGTCAGCTTCATGGCCTGAGAGGCGAGTTAGATGAGAGTGTGCGCACCATGAAGAAATCAGTGAGGGACATGGACAAAGCTACCCCAAGCGGCGGCGTTCAAGGGCACGCTGTAAGCCCTGTGGGCTCACGGTGGTACGGCCACAGAGATATGGGGGATCAATGGACAGACAGGTGCCGCGGACGGACGGTTGGAGGCACAAGCCAGACCTGGGTATCTCTCCTCACACTCATGCATGGAGGCAACCCAGGTACACTGCCTTCTGTAGCTCTTGTGCTTTCCTGACGCTCACACACGGAGATGACCCAGGTAACGCACACATTGGGCCACTTTTCCAACACACCGGGCAAGTGTTGGGACGACCCCCAGTCGCCCTTTCCACTGTTGTAGCAGGGAGACAGTAGCTGCAGCAACACTCTCGCTAGACCCTAGACCGAGAGGGGAGAGAGATGGTGGATTCCAAGAGAGAGAGGCTACCAAGAGGGGGAGGGCGCGCCTCGCGTGCGCGGCGACCGGACCACCAACCGCGGCTCCTGGCACACCGTGTATCCCTTTTGTCCCTTTGTAGAGCTTGTACCGTTATGCAGACTCATAAGTTGCCAGCTGCTGTCTCCTGTCTTCCTCCTGGTCCTTCGTTGCAAAGCAGAGTGCCGGGCAACCAAACAGAGCTCTGCTGTACATGTGAGCTTGTCTACCTTGCTGGGTGGTAAGACAGGGCAAAGCCCCACTTTCTGCCGCATTCTTGGGGGGACAGGGGGGGGGCAGTTGGAGGTTGGAATGCCAAGGGGCGGGCATAACCCCCTTTGGGCAGCCAGCAGGTTGACTCAGAGTTGGATGCAAGTCAGTACATGGGACATTGCACACCTTTCCTCACTCCCTCGTACTCTTATACTCAGATCCAGGTGCAAATTGGCACAGGTGTGCAGGGCCATTGCACAGGGCAGGCCTGGCTTTTACGAGCAGGTCTGAGCACAGCTTGGTTGCGGTTGCAGAGAAAGCCTGAGAGCAACCCAACATGCAGACTTGACAATCTGGGGGGCGGCATGCTTGGTGAGCCCGCTCCCAGACTTGATGTGGCAGATCACCAGACATTGTGATGCCGTGACGGTGTGGAAGGGTGCTGAAGCAAAAGAAGAAGCGACCAGAGCAGGACTTGAACCTGCGCAGGCAAAGCCTAATAGATGGCGAATTGATTCGAGTCTATCCCCTTAACCGCTCGGGCATCTGGCCTCAAGTCATGTTAGGGATCGGCGGCTTTTACTTCAACAACCAACACAAGAAAAGAGCGATTGCGCGGACCCCTTCTTCCTTCTCCTGCTCCAGGCGCAGCTACTGTCCATTGCTGAGCAAGCATCATCCTTCTTCTGTCAACCTACAAGCCAACTTTACCCATACAAGGGCCTTGATCTGGACATTGAGGTCTGGACAAGCACTGCCTCTGTCAGCAGACCACCTGTGCACCACAGAGGGGAAAAAAGTCAGCCTGCCTGCTTCTGTCCGAATTAACTAGTGCAGCACACAGAGCAGAGGGGCTGCATGCTTGATAATCTGCCCCGGTCTCAGTCACAAGCAGTTCAGGAATAGAAAGCACCCTGGAACTTCTGAAGACCTGCACTGACATGCTCTCACACCACTTTCATTTTCACTTTCTGCAAGGGCAGGCTTGCAGCACTTTGGCCCGCCAAGCCAGGCTGGCAAAGTGGAGGCAGGTGCACGCACCTAGGCAGAGCGCGGGTGAGCCCCGTGGGCTCACAATGGTACAGCCGCGGAGATACGGGGGATCGACGGACGGACAGACACGGTCAGTGGACAGACAGACGCCGCAAACGGACGGTCGGAGGGCGCATGCGCAAGCCAGACCTGGGTTCCTGCCGATCTGGCTGATGACGGATGCCTCAAAGGTGGGGATCGGTGGGGTCTTGCCAGTGCAGGGCAACGACTGGAGGACAGCGTTGCCCTGGGTCTCTACTCATGACAGTACATTGCTGCAGAGAATAATTACCTGATGCACAAGCAGGAGCCCTTGGCTGTTGTCGCCGTGCTCAAGGCGTGGCGCATTGACCTCCTTGGTGTCCGCTTCTGCATCCTCACCAACCATGACACCCTCAAGCATTTCAAGACGCAGTCAACGCTGTCCAAGAGACAGGCTCACTGGACAGAGACGCTTGCTGAATACAACTACGAGCTGTCGTACATCCTGGGCAAGCTCAACACGGTTGCCGACTCGCTCTTGCGGTCCTCATTCCCGTGAGACAAGCCAGCCCTCGCCGTTTGCGGAATCTCGGAAGTCTCAATTTCCCGCACTGTCGTTGAGCGGATCAAGGCAGGCTACGCTGAGGATCCCTTTGCCTCCCAGCTGCAGGCCAACCTCGACTCCTCGTCGGGCTTCTCGCTCAAGGACGGGCTCTTCTACTCTGAGGACGCCCACATTGTTGTTCCCAAGATTGTCGAGATCCGCAAGGCGCTGATGCACGACGCTGACAACGCTCTCGGGCACCTTGGACCAAGGAAGTTGCTGAGATCCCTCTTGCTCTCCTTCTACTGGCCCAGGATGGCTCGCGACGTGCTGCAGTACGT